CCTGTCCCTCTACAGTTTTAATCAGTGTTTCCTGATGATCAGGGATACGTGTATCTTTTCATCCCGTGGGCTGTCGTTTCAGCCCACAGGTCAAACGGTGGCTCTGATCATAGCACTTCAAGTATTTTTCTCTTGGATGACATCGATCCCAAGGAAAAGTCACGAGTCATGATCTACAATGTTTTAAATCCTGTGTCCTTCCATTCATATACAGGAATACATAAAATAATTCTTGGGGCGCCTGGGTGGCTCAGTCGGTTGGGCGTCCGACTTTGGCTCAGGGCATAATCTCGGGGTTCGTGGGTTCAAGCCCCATGTCGGCCTCTGTGCTGACAGCTCAGAGGCTGGAGCCTGTCTTTGGATTCTGTATCTCCCCCTCTCTCTGATCCTCTCCTGCTTACTGTCTCTCTCTCTCTCTCAGAGATAAATAAAAAAACATTAAAGAAAAATTAAAAAAATAATTCTCTGAAAAATAAACCACGTGTATGTGTGGTAGGCAGGATAATGCGCCCCAGGGGTGTCCGTGCTCTGTTCCCCGGAGCCCCTGACTGTGTGGCCTTCCCCAAAAGGGACTCTGCAGGGGTGATCAGCAATACAGACCTTGAGAGGAGACACTGTCCGGGGAAGCCATGTCTAATCACATGGGTCCCACAACGCAGAGTACTGGCTGTGGTCAGACAAAAGCTGTGACAAGGACAGACGTGTTGGCTGGCTTGGGAGACAGCAGAATAGCCCCCAGCCACGGAATGTGGTGCTCGAGGAGCCGAGAGAGGGGAGGAGACAGACCCTCTCCCAGAGCCTCCAGAAAAGGCAGAATTTAGCTCAGCCAGACATCCAGCTCCCACAAACGTTAAGATCATCAATGTGTTTTGCTTTGAGCCACTAACTTGGAGCTAATTTGTTACAGTAGCGAGATGAATACAGTATGTGACATCATAAAGCTCTTTCCAGACAATATATTCAGCCCCATCTTTAAAAGTGTAGCCATGGGGCGCCTGGGTGGCTTAGTCGGTTAAGCGTCCGACTTTCGCTTGGGTCATGATCTCGTGGTTCGTGGGTTCGAGCCCCGCGTTGGGCTCTGTGCTGACTGCCAGTTCAGAGCCTGGAGCCTGCTTCAGTCTGTGACTCCCTCTCTCCCTGACCCTCCCCTGCTCACGCTGTCTCTCTCTCTCTCTCTCCTAAAAATAAATAAAACATTTAAAAAAAAAAAAAAGTGTAGCCTTGAGGCGCCTGGGTGGCTCAGTCAGTTGGGTGTCTGACTTCAGCCTGGGGCATGATCTCATGGTTCGTGGGTTCGAGCCCCGCGTTGGGCTCTGTGCTGACAGCTCAGAGCCTGGAACTTGTTTCAGATTCTATGTCTCCCTCTCTCTCTGCCCCTCCCCTGCTCACACTGTCTCTCTCTCTCAAAAATAAATTTTAAAAAAAGTATATAAAAAAAGCATAGCCTATTCTAAGCTTAGCGTAACGATAAGTTAAACATGGCAACTGCATTTCCAAATGCCTGAAATGCTTATCCACGTTCACGTTTAGGTGGTGTATACAGGATCAGGGCGCGGTGAATTCTTCAACTCATGATCAGAACAAATACTTTATGGTCAACTGACAATCCTTCTTTAGGATTCTGACTTTGAATGCATTTCTAACAGGTGCCTGGGTGGCTCACTCCATTAAGCATCCAACTTCAGCTCTGGTTGTGATCTTGCAGTTCATGGGTTCAAGCCCCATGTCGGGCTCTGCGCTGACGGCCCAGAGCCTGGAGCTGCTTTGGATTCTGTGTCTCCCTCTCTCTTTGCCCCTCCCCTGCTTGTGCTCTCTCTCTCTCTCTCTCTTTCTGAGAAATAAACATTAAAAAATTAAAAAATAAAATAAAATTTCCCCTAGTGTTTCATTAAGTCCAATAAAAATAAATTAATTTAGAATCACTGAATTTTAAAATAGGCAGGAACCTTGCTGGGTTCAAATCCAGACTCTGGCCCTAAGCTCAGTATCCTATACTTTGTCATAACTCGCCTGCCACGTAATGAAATTTACTTCGGGATGGGTACATGTACAAAAGCAAATTGTATGGTATAATTTTTTCATTCACTTAACAAATATTTAACACTTCATGTCTGCTGGGCCCCCTTCTCAGTGTTGGAGATAATTAGGGGAATAGTGGATAAAGATCCCTGCCTTTCATGGAGTGAGATTCCAGAGAAAAGGGGCAAATAATAAACAGCCAGCAAAATGCATGTGTACATGGTGTACCTCGTCAGAGGGCTTTGGTGCTATGAGGGGAAAAGGGCAGAGTAAGGGGTTTGGAGTATGAGAAAGGAGGTGCAATTTTTAACAGGGCGGGGCAAGGACAGCCCTCACAGAAAAGGTATCATTGGATCAAAATCTTGAAGGAAGCAAGTGTTAAGACAGGCACAGCCAGCGCAAAGGCCCTGAGATAGAATGGGGCTGGCTGGGAGTGAGTGTAGGGAAGGGTACTGGAAAATGAAACTGGGCATGGTCAGATGGTGCAGGGCCTCCCAGACCACTGTGAGGACTTTGGCTTTTACTCCAAGCGAGTAAATAATTTATATGTAAAAATTATAAACTATCCCATAAATCTGCACACCCTGTTGTCAAGGTATATAACCTTCGGAGAGTTGGCTGAAACGTCAGTGTACTGAAGAATGAAAGATTCTGCAAGCAAACATTTCTCGTGGATGAGTCAGTCAGGGAAAACAAACCCAGTGGTCTAGAGTGGTCTAGAGGAAAGTTCTAGGCTACACAGAAGAAAGCTGGAGACAAAGTGTCGGGCTGTGTGTTGCCCTTCCTGTGAGTCTGTGGCCTGGAGGCTTTCTACCTTGATTTCAGGAGGCATTCGGTTCTGTTCTAGCTCTGTGGAGTCACTTCTCACTCCCCGGGGACTAAGTGGATGATTTATTTATTCAGTTCATGTCAACCAAAGACATAGGTATATGGGTAGGGAGGAAGGACAGCAAGGTCGGTAGTCAGCAAAGTCGCTCCACGCACTTTCACAAATTACTTGTAACAGTCCTCGAGGAGGGTCATACATGCCCCGTCCTCCGGGGGCTAAATTCCTCATTTTAGTAAATGGCCGTATTAGTTTTCTATTGTTGCCATAACAAATTATAATAGTTTAGCAGCTTTAAACAATACGTATTTATTGGTTCGCAGTTCTGGGGCTCAGAAGTCTGGGTTGGGTTCTCTGCTTTGGGTGTCAGAAGGCTGACATCAAGGGGTCAGGGGTTGGCTGTCACTGGGAGACACAAGGAAGAATCGGCTTCACACTCAAGCAGGTAATTGGCAGAATCCAGGTCCTTGAAGCTCTAGGACTGAAGCCCCCGTTTCCTTGCCGTATGGCAGCCGGGGGCCGGCGTCCACCCTTAGCTCCTAGGAGTCGGTCTTTGGTCTTCGAACGTGGACCCTACATCGCAGAGCCAGCGATGGGGCACTGAATCCTTCCCACAGTCGGGGCCTCTCTGATGTCCCCTCTGCCACATCTCCTCTTCCAGCTGCAGGAAAGTTCTCTCTTGTACAGGTTAGACGAAGCTCACCCCCAGAATCCAGGCAAGTCCCTAACCTGCCAAGCCCCTCTTGCCACGTGAGGCGACATGGTCACGCAGCATATGTGTGTATGTAACAGAGGCGACAGTGACAAACTATGCGTTGGTATCCGCACTCTCATCTTTCCCCGCAGGGTAAGAAAGTTCCGGTCGACGGTCCAACACTGTCCCACGTTACAAGTCCCGAGTTACTAAAGGCTGAGGGGTGGGGTGGGGTGGTCACCAGGCAGGGCCTGCCCTCGCGGGACACAGCCACTGGCCACTGGCCGCCCCTGGGGGGAGAAAGGTGGCCCGCGGGCCTGTGGTGTGTGTGGGCCGTCCTGGAGGGGCGCTCTGGGCCCTGCAGGGTGCGGGGCTCGGCCCGAGGAGACCCTACAGACGCTTTCGGAGCCATGCTGTGGGTCGTAAGTGAGGCCTCTTAACATTTCTTGGGATGCTTTAGTCCTGATTGGAGTCACCTTTAAGTGCTTTTGACCGTGGGCGTCCCTGTGTCTGAGGGGAGGACCGCCCACACCCGCACATCCTGATGCCACCCTCAGGCTGGGGTGGGGGCACATCCTGATGCCACCCTCAGGCTGGGGTGGGGTCACTGGCCACTGCCGTGCAGGACACGCCTTCCCAAAGAACATCCTTTTTAAATTTTTTTTGTTTTTGTTTTATTTATTTACTTATTTTTGAGACAGAGAGAGACAGAGCATGAGCGGGGGAGGGGCAGAGAGAGAGGGAGACACAGAATCTGAAGCAGGTTCCAGGCTCCGAGCTGTCAGCACAGAGCCCGACGCGGGGCTCGAACCCACGAACCGCGAGGTCATGACCTGAGCCGAAGTCGGACGCTTAAGCGGCTGAGCCACCCAGGCGCCCCAGAAGAACATTCTTTAGGGTCACGCGGTACCCGGGGCCTGTGCACGTCCCCGCCCCTGCCTCCAGAAGTGGGGTTCCCCCAGCACCACGTGCGTCACCGCACAGCCGCCTGCTTCCACGAAGCCGGTACAGGCGGTGTGGGCCCTTCAGGGGAAGCCCGTCCGGGGCGCCGGCAAAGCGGCACCCAGTTCCTCTCCGCGGCCTGGCTGCAGGGCTGACCAAAATGTTCACCGTTTTTAAAAATAAATACAATGAGGGGCGCCTGGGTGGCTCAGGCGGTTGGCGTCTGACTTTGGCTCAGGTTTGGGAGTTCGAGCCCGGGTACAGGCTCTGTGCCGACAGCTCAGAGGCTCCAGGTTCGGCAAAGCCGACCCTGTCCTTGCCCCGGGCCCGCCGCACCCCAGATCCCTTGGCTTCCTCAGGCAGGCCGCACGCCCCCACCCCTCCCTGGCCCTTCACTTCCCCGCCCCCACAGGTCCCGCCCCCCCACAGGGCCCACCCCTCTCCCTTCCGGCTAGGTCTGTGCCCCGCCCCGCCCCGCCCCGCCCCCCGGCCCGCGGCTTTCCCGCGGGAAGGCTCCCGCAGGCTGCGTGGCCCGGGCGCGGCGCGGCCGGGCATGCGCAGAGCGCACGGGCGCGGTTGCCGTGGCAGCGCCGGCCCGAGGGGAGGGCGGCGGGAGGGCGCGGCGCGGAGCCGGCGACCGGCAGGCTGAGGCGGCGGCGCGTCCACCGAGAGCCCGCGGCGGCCGGAGGCGGCGCCGGGCGGGCCTGAGCGGCGGGCGCGGCCCGGGCCCGCGGGGATGCGGGACCGGCTGCCGGACCTGACGGCGGTGAGCGGCGGGCAGGCGGCGGATAGCGGTCCGGGCGGGGCGCGGCGGGGCGGGGGCGCGGGTGCGGCTCCGGGCGGGGCGGAGGTGGGCGGGGGCGCGGGGGTTCGGGGCGGCTGGCGGTGGGGGTGAAGGGGAGAGTAGTGGGCGGGGAGGGGGAGGGCAGGGCTGGGCGCGGCGGGGCGGGGAAGGGAGGGACGAGGGTGCGCTGGGGGGCTCGGGGTGGGCAGGACCCGGCGGGGAAGGAAGAGCAGGGCCGGGCGACGCGGGGGGGTCGCGGGGCTGGCGCCCCCCGCCGCGCCCGGGTGGGCCGCCGTCTCCGCCGTGTCCAGGACGTCCCCACAGCCGAGGGACAGGAACGCTTACTGCCCTGACAGGCGGGAAACTGAGTGTTTGAGAGCCCGGTTGGCCCGGGGTGGGGCGGGGGGCACGGGGCAGTGGCCGGGCATGGAACCCCGTTTTCTGAGCCGCGCTCTGCTGCTTGCCCAGGCTGAAGTCGCCCCGTCGCGTTGCCCGGCTCCTGAGTCTTCGCTCAGCACTTGGGACAGCCAGAAGTTACTGGACTCCGGTCGGCCCCGCCCTAGGGGTGGGCGTCGGCCGGCTCCCCGAGGGCAGCGGCTTGTCGCCATGCCCGTCGCCGCCGTGCCCACCGAGCGCGGGGGTCCCCCGGCGCCGCGCAGCCCTGGCCTTGCGCCGAGCGGCGCCCCTGTTCGCCTGTCTTCCCACCCAGCGCGTCGCCGGGAGGGTGTCCCTTCCCGTGAGTGAGGGAGGGGCGTCCCTTAGGAGGGGGCCATTGTGAGGTGTGTGGAGATGACAGCACCACGCGTGCATAGGATGTGGCCGGGTTGAGATATTTTAGGCCAACAGTCAATTAGGACTCTTTTTTTCCTTTAAAAATAGGACTGTTAATTAGTGCCGCGTCGTGTTCTGTTCCCCAGGGCACAGGGTGAGGCTCTGCCCTCTGCTGCCAGGCAGTCTCGGAACAGGGTGCCGGGCCCTGCGCCCTGAGGCACCCATTGCATGTACTGAATGAGCTTTGCTTCTAGAATGCAGCTGGTTATAGGCCACGCTGAGGAGAATAGAGGGAATGGACCCAGAGGTCATCATCTGCGTTCCCCGGGTGCCGCGCGCAAGCCGGGCTCCGATGGGCGATGAGCTGCTCCCGAGCAGTCGTCGCGTTTCGGTTTACGCTCATTCCAAGAACGCTTCTTCATAGTGATTGTTTTCCTTAATGGTCAGATGTTGTGGCCTCCGCAGTTTGCAGGCGAACATCTGGTAAACACAGCAAACAGCCGCGCTCAGCCACAGACCTGCGCCAGGAGGGGCGCACGTGTTTGCCGAGTGCAGGCTTGCCGAGTGCGTCTGGACGGGCGAGCTGCCACTGTTCTAGAAAAGGTCTGCAGTCGCGTATGATATTGGGGGTTAGTTAGGAAAGATGTGTATGGAGAATGTATATGCAGCTTTTCTGGGCCTGATTAGCAAAAAATAAATCGGGCAATTATTTACCACTCTAGGCTTGTGTGGCCTCCGGCAGCGCCAGGGAGAGCACGTGACCTGTTGGGATCTAGAATTTCAGAGCTAGAATGGCCGTGTCTGGTCCAGCACCTGTTTTAGATAAAGACACGGAGTAGTTGTAGAGCCCGTTACTGGATGTTTCTGCTTCTGGAGTTGTCTCATCTTGGGCAAATTATTTTTAAAACTCCCCAAACCTCAGTTTTCCTGTACGTAAGATGGGGATAATGATATCTCTCTTGCTTACTCATAGAAACAGTTGTGGCACATAAAATTATCTCCCGTGTGTGACACTGGCAGAAGGTGCGACAAACGCCATGTAATTATGAGTCCTATTCATATTTATTAGGTTCTTAAAATATTTCCAGGTAGTTAAAAAAAAGCAAACTTCTATGTGGAATAAAAAATATTAATTTAAAATTGAATTTGACAGAGGCGCCTGGGTGGCTCAGTCGGTTAAGCGTCCGCCTTTGGCTCAGGTCATGATCTCACGGTTCATGGGTTTGGGCCCTGCATCGGGCTCTGTGCTGACAGCTCAGAGCCTGGAGCCTGTTTCAGATTCTGTGTCTCGCTCTCCCTCTCTCTCTGACCCTCCCCTGTTCATGCTGTCTCTCTCACTCAGAAATAAAGAAAACATTTAAAAAAAATTGAATTTGACATACTTATAACTTTTAATATTTAAAAACTCCTCTGAAAATTACCAGAAATAAAAGTTAAACTTTTTCTTTCCTTAAGGAAATGTAGCTTTTCCAGGTAGTTCATGGAGTAGTTGAGTGTCTGCTCATAACCATGTTTCTTTTTTTTTGTTGTTAATTTTTTTGATGTTTTTGTTTATTTTTGAGAGAGAGAGAGACAGCTTGAGCAGGGCAGGGGCAGAGAGAGAAGGAGACACAGAATCTGAAGGAGGCTCCAGGCTCTGAGCTGTCAGCACAGAGCCCGACGCGGGGCTCGAACCCACGAACTGTGAGATCACGACCTGCGCTGAAGCCAGACGCTCAACCGACTGAGCCCCCCAGGCAGCCCTGCTCATAACCATGTTCTCAGCAGCGGGTGTTTTCTTCCTAGGTGGACTTTAGTTGGGTAGATAGTTAAAATGTCTCATTAACAGTGTCCAACCTGGAAAAATGGTTGTTATAGCTCCAAAAAAATTTCCCTTATTAGCTGTTAGTGCTTCCTCCTGAGAAGATTACCCCTGATAACCATTCGGAAAAGAGTTAAAAATGAGTATGTCCAATACTATTTGCTAAATGTAGATGTAGCTGCTTCTAATCGATGATTCTCTTTTGAGCAGCCCGTTCACTTGGGTGCAGAAAGTTTAAGTGACTTACCCAAGGTCTCCTGGACTCAAAATCCAGAAAGATGTTTCTGATTTACAAGAAAATAAATGAACCACCAACAGACACACCAGTGCCCGGCCTCTAGGAGGCGCCGTGCCAGGCGCAGAGACAGGAAAATGCCTCCAGCAGGTGTGGAGGCAAACAGCCCGGGGAGGGAAGGGGCGAGGCTGGATGAGCTACATCTGGGATGTGAGTAAACGAAAATGGAATACCCTTCTAGGAGGCGGTAACTCCAAATGTGTTTTGATTGCCTTTTTTAAAAAGTTTGTGCATGCAGATGGATGTATCTGTTATAGCTGAGAACAGACAAACTATGATTTCAACTGTGGGAATTGTTTCAGGGAAAATAAACACAGACAGAGTTGTGGGTATGCGTTAGTAGACCTGAGAGAAATGAGCAAATTAGTATTTTTAATCCCTGGATTCAAGGAGATGAATTGCAGATGCAATTTTTATTTTATTTTTATTTTTTGAGAACTAGTGCACATGTGAGTGGGAGAGGAGGAGAGAGGAAGAGAGGAGAGAGAGAGAGAGAGAGAGAGAGAGAGAGAAAGAGAGAGAGAATCTTAAGCAGGCTCCAGCGTGGAGCCCATTGCTGGGCTTAATCTTATGACCCTGGGATCATGAACTGAGCTGAAATCAAGGGTCAGGTGCCCAACCAACTGAGCCACCCATGTGCTCCTTTCTTAAATTTATTTTATTATTTTATTTTTTATATTATTTTATTTTATTGACAGAGAGGCAAATAAAGGTTTTTATAATATATTTTTTAAAATTTTTAACTTTTATTTATTATTGAGAGACAGAGACAGCATGAGCAGGGGAGGGGCAGAGAGGGGGGAGACACAGAATCAGAAGCCGCTCTAAGCCCTGAGCTGTTAGCACAGAGCCCGACATGGGGCTTGAACTCACAGACTGCGAGATCATGACCTGAGCTGAAGTCGGATGCTTAACCTACTGAGCCATCCAAGCACCCCCAGATTTTTAAAGGGCAGGAAAAACAGCCCAGATATTTTAAAAGTCATTATTTATTTTTAATGTTTATTTTTGAGAGAGAGAGACAGAGCACAAGCAGGGGAGGGGCAGAGAGAGGAGGAGACACAGCCAAGCAGGCCCTACGCTCTGAGCCGTCAGCACAGAGCCTGACATGGGGCTCAAACTCACTAACTGTGAGATCATGACCTGAGCGGAAGTCGGACACTCAACTGACTGAGCCACACAGGTGCCCCTAAAAGCTATTTTTTGACAGCTCAGACTGCACATGTCTAAAATGTTACATAGTCAAGGTTCAGATTCCTATTTATAATATAGAGCATTTTTCCCCCAAATGTTTCACTTAAAACGCTAAGAATTTTATAGTATAATTTCCTAGATATATATGTTTATAGCTTAGAAATTTATGTTTTTTTAGTCTTGCCACCTTTTGAGAGAGAGAGAGAGAGAGCATGCATGAGAGTGGGGAAGGGACAGAGAGACGGGGAGAGAGAATGATTCCCAAGCGAACTCCACGCCACCAGCATAGAGTCTCATGGGGGTTCAGTTTCACGGTTCATGAGATCATGACTTGAGCCGAGATCAAGATCAGATGCTCAACCAACTGAGCTGCCAGGCTTCCCAATCCTGCCAGTTTAAAAAAAAATGTTCACTTTTGAGAGAGAGAGAGAGAGAGCATGTGAACTGGGGAGGAACAGAGAGAGGGAGACGGAGAACCCCAAGCAGGCTTTGCAGTGTCAGCACAGAGCCTGATGTGGGGCTTGAACGCAGGAAATTCGAGATCATGACCTGAGCCAAAGTTGAACACTTAACCCACTGAGCCACACAGGCGCCTCCCAGATGAATACTTCTTGTTTGTAACTTCGTCTGTTGTGAATTTAAGGAACAGAAAACCTAAGAGGACCAGTTCCGGAAAAACCAGGACATAAAATGGGTTCCCTCTCCAGCGCACACTTCCCACGGGCCACCTCAGTCCCGTCGTCAGGTGCCGCCGGTGGTTCCCATGGCGGCCTTTGTGCCTGCTGCTCCCCCGGGCCCCCCTTCTCAGGCTGCCTCACACCTTCATTTGGTCTCAGTGCAGGCTTCCCCACTGGGCTGTCTTCCTGTCCCCCTTCCCTACGGCCCCCAGAGCTGGCTGTCCCCAGAGGTGGCTGTCTTCTG